GTTTGATCCCAAGCCCCTTCTGCATAGATGCCCCCGAGCCCAGTGCGTGTGCGTCCTGCTGGTGTTTGGCACTGGAGATAAAGCTACAGATACACGTCACGCACAGGGTTTCCCTGTTGTTAAAATCTGCTCCTCGGAGGTGCTGTTCCCAATGTGACCAGTAACCATGTGCCTTTTAAGTTGTTTCTGACTCAGTTACAACCTAGTGTATAGGCACAGAGACCTCCTAAACACCTTAATGCAATTCTTGCAGGCAAAATCCAATAGAAATTAACAGCAACCTGGACAAACCTATTTTCTTCAGCTGCTTTGAAAAATCAGAGCAAGCAACACTGCAAATGAAAAGCACTGAGTAATGGGGTATTCTGCAAGAAAAAAAAAAAAACCTATCCAGACCATTCCAGCTCCAAATGAGTATACATCCAATTTTTCAGCCAGTGATTATAAAAATGAAGACTCTTGCCGCTGAAACCGCTGAGGGGATGATGTAAACTGCGTAGTTCATTACTGCTGCGATAGCACCCCCGTGAGCCAGGCCCCACTGTGCAAGTGCTCCATCAGGATCTGTTAATGTGCTGGAGATGTACATCTGGGAACCTCTCACGGATAGTTCTTGCCCTTGCTATCACTTGTACATCTCCATCGGTTAGCTACAGGGGCAGATTCTTGTCTCGCTGAGCTTTCTGAGCTGGCCGACTACCAAATTATAGCTCTCCCCTCTCCTCAGCTGCAGTAACTGCACTGGTACTTCCCCGACTGCAGAGGACGCAGAAATAAATCTATCTTTGCGCAAGCTTCTTCCCCTTACCTTAAAGTGGCTGCGCTGTCCTCCCAGCTGTTTTGACAGATTCACTACATTGCTATGAACAGCAGAGAAAACTGTTGTTAGCCAAACAGAAAGGTGGATAGATCTCTGTTTAGTTATTATTTTCCAGAAAGTTCTGCAATCTGTTTCTTTCAAACACAAACCAAAGGAAGAACAGAGAAGTTAAAATAATTCTGTACTGGGCAGGTTATTGCATGGCGTAGCACCAGTTCAGAACAGCTCTTTTGCTGCTCTTTATCAAATCCTGAAGCTAATCTATTTTTTGTAGAGCTATCAAACCCTGTAACCTGTAACTATTACGTAAATTATATCCTGATGTTACACACTAGTAAAGTTTTACACTGGGTCTACAGCAGGTCTGCATGAACAGCCCCGTGCAGATCACACAGTCGTTCACAGCCTCATTTGTGCAAGAGATGGACCCGACCCCTCTCTGTGCCATGAAAACCCACTTTGATGAGGCCTCTGCAGCCCACACTGTCGGAGCGTGCCCCAAAAGCAAGAGAGGGTTCAGTTGCAAGAGATATCAACTGCAAGAGGCAGAAAGAGATCTGTTATGCAAAGGCCATCTTCTGCCCCCCCCTGTGTGAAGCAGCCTTTGCAGACACAGAATTCAGCCTTTTAGATTAGGTCATTAAACAATTATAAGAAAACAATGGGTTTAGATATCCTAGCTCCCCATCTAACGCTCTGCTTTAAATCATACTGATCTAAAAAAACCTCCATAAACCCCAAAACAGGCGTAAGCACTGCTGGCCTCCTAAAGCGCTCCTGCTGTCCCATGGCTCTGTGCTCTCCTGCCCCACGCTTATCAGTTCAGAAATGTTTTTCACGTGTGATGGAAAAATAATTCCACCGATGGCAATAACTGCATTTTTCAACAGACCCCTGTGCAGGAATATCCCTATCTCGAATGTTCACCTGTTTTCTCTCTGAATGCACTGTGTTTGCCTGCCTTTACTACAAAAGGCCAGCAAGGAGCGGGGTCAGCACTCCCTTTTTCCTTCCTCAGCAGATGAGCAGTAAGATGCATAATGCAAGAATTAATCTATATGAGAAGCTTTGCAGTGCAGCACACTCTATTCCTCTTGGACAGACTAGAGGAAAATCTTGTTTTTCCTCCCACACAAGGTATATGCAAGCTTTTAGGTTTTAGTAACTTCAGTGCAGCCAGCAAAGGCAAACCGTACAATGGAGTGACTCTTCCAGCAAAGCACAACCAGCTCTGGCAATAGACACAGCTATTCAGCAACATTCAGATGTTCAACGTTACTTAAGAGTACGCGTTATACCCTGTCAGCTCTCAACCTCTAACCTGAAGCTTAGTGAATAACATTAAAATAAGGTTAAATGTGTTAAATACTGCCCTACTATACAGGCAAACAATCTGTAATCATGAGAGGCTGGTCTAGAACACAAAGAGGAGCAGAATTCATCCCAAACATCACAGATACCTCAGGAGCCACTTGCTTTGCAATCTCTAAGATGCCATAAGGGTTTTGTACCTTTAGTCAAAGTGTGGGGTGGGGAAGAGAAAGAACAGGTCAGGATTAAATATAAATCTAATGTAAATCTCCTAAATTGAGCCAAGGACAGAATTATCCATTGGCTAAGACAGACAATCCTCTCCGCTACTGTCTTTCATAATTATCTCTCCCTCCTTTCTTCCCTCAAAAATAACAACTAATTTAAATTAAAAAAAAAAAAAAAAAAAAGAAGAGGAGGTGTTTTTCACTTCAAGATGAAAATATTTTGTGTTTGGTTCTCTAGAAGTGAATTGATGTAATTTTTTGGCTGGTGCACACATACTGACCACACAGGGGAAATGCTGCGCACTGGCACCTGCAATCCCAGAGTCGAGGCTCTCATTGCAAGCACTTGTGCGTGGAGCTCCTTGTGCCACCTCACACTCTGTCTCCACGTCAGTCTCCAACTTCAAATGCCAAAAAGTGATAATCACGTCGATTATCACTTTTGCGTAAAAGAACACTTTTCTATTTTGTGCTGTTTGTCATTGAAAGGTGTCATCAGTTCTCCCACAACTATTTTTTTTTTCAGTGAAATGACCTAACTACAGAACCAGATTAACTGAATTGTGTCTTTACACAACCTCCTGAAGCGATTTATTTGCTTGTGAGGAGGACATCAGGAAATAATAATTTATATAAATATATTTTAAAATAAGAGTAAAATTATTGGGTTTTGGTTTTATTTGTGGACAGTATTTATCTACCATGGGTGGCTTAGAACTTTAGTACCAAGATTAGAAATACTGTCTTTCATAGTTTGCTTTGACAAATTATGCTTTTTTAAGCATATTCACACATGCCTTTGAAGCCTGAAATAATTTTAGCGATTCTGAGAGAAATGTCATCATCTGTTCAAACTACACCTGAGAAAACTTAGGAGGAGGCACCACCTGTAACAGGAACATTTGCCTGGTGACTGAACAAACAACTGAAGAACTCCTCAACCATCTCCAGTTTGGCTCAGTCATGTTAGGTCAAGTAGTTTTTCAGTTAATTCAGTCTAACGTCTAGATCAGCACTGCAGAATTTTTGCAGAGCAAAAAAAAGTTTTTAATACCATAGGTCTATCACTAAAAGGAGACTGAAGATGCTCCTGGCTTCAATTGCTTTTGTTTTTATCCCTATATGTAAAAACAGGTCAGCAGAGCCAAGCAGAGTTCAGTGCAAAATGTCTATTCCAGGTTTAACGGTGACTCAGACACAGCCAAGGCCAGCTGTGTCTTCTCTACACAGTTGTTCTGTATTCAGCTTTTTTGCAAAAATGAGATACTTCTTTATCCCTTTGAAACCACGCTGGCTGGTAAGCAAGTATATTTTGGCTAGATGGCAAGCATTTACTTTCTCCTTACAGGTACAGCAACCAGAAAAATCTGGTTTTGCAGGAATTGCTCCTTCATGCCACACACCAGAAAAAAAGACATATGCCGAACTAAAGCTTCTAGTGGCCACACAGATTTCTGCCAAAGTGGCATGAGAACCACTTTGCATTTGCGGGAAGCCAACAGCCTCTCAGCCTCCCCCCCAACAGTTCTGATAGCAGGAATTTCAAAGTGAGGCAGCTTATAGAGCGCCATACTACCGATTCCAAATTTCTTATTAAAAACACCAAATAGACAGCAGGCTGTATTTCCACAGGCTAACTCATTTCAGTCAGAAGAATATTTTCATTGACATCCTCAGAATTGTGATTGTTTCTTTTCCAGTGGTGAGGTCTACAGTCTTTCATTAAATTTCATGTCATCTATCAAAGTATAATTATGCTTTTTCATTCTTTCTTCTCATACGTAAATCCCATTTGGCTGAAAAGCATCCAGCATTGAATTAAGAGCATTTTTCTGGTATACAGATAGTCCCAAGTCTTAAAAGAAGCAGTCAGTGTAAAGGGTTTATTCTTGTTCAAAAGACTGTGTTACCTACACAACTGCATTCCAATTTCATTCTTAGAACTGACTGAATTGAGAGCCCAAAAAGGGTGCCATTTAGCAATTCAGTTACTTATTTCCTGCAGCATTAAATTCTTCTTCCAGACATTCTTGGTGTTAAATTACCATGGAATTTCTCAAACACTTTAACCTTCAGAACAATCCCGCTGCAAACTTAATGATGGACACTGCAAAATTTATTTGGATTTTATGGCCTAGGACTACTGAACAAAACTATGCAAAAAGAACACACACACACATTAACTGGGACAACAGTTATGACCTTTATGCTTTATGGTCAGGAAAGCATCTGGGAAGATAGGTGGGAAAATAATTAAAACACATTTTTGAGAGGGCATATGCCACTTCTGAAGCATAGGGTAGTGCTCCCTTCCTGCATGAGAACACGGTGTGAATTCTTGCAAGGAACATGGTTACAGAACTGTATTTCTGTGTAGCGAGTCCATTTTCTTGAAGCAGCTGGAGGTAGTTAGCTTGAAAAAGCAAGAGGTTATGCTCGTCCTATCTAGCCAGTATCTGCATTCAAAATTTTTAAGATTCAGAACAGGTGGATTCAAGAAGGCAGCATGCCTACTCACTGGTAATGTGAATTCAGAAGTTCAGAAATATCAGCACCAGACATCGGGGCAATATCCTATCATGCTGTGCCACAAACATTCTTGAAGTGAAAAGAAAACTACGTCAAAAACCTTGTTCTTTATTAATCATTTTAATGAACCAAATATGAAGTGACATAAACACAAGTCAAAGAAATAACACAAAACCAGCCTCACCAGCTGCTGACAGGAGGTAAAGATAGAAGAACAGTTGAGGATGATTTGAGGGAAAACAAGAAAGCATACTGGAAGAGATACTCATTCTTGCCAAGAATGTCAACCAAATCATATAGCAGTTAAAATTTCATATCAAGTATTTAAATAAAGATCTCTGCTTTGTTGCCTAACCCAGCGAGTCCATGGAAGAGCAGGGAATGGGCTATCCCTGAATTCATGGCAAACAGGTCCAAATTTCTCCAAACAATGGAGATGGAGGTGGCTAAAAAGAAAGAGAAACAGAGAAAGCGAGGACCCTCTGTTACCCAGCCTGGTCTCAGAAACGGAATGTGTTTTCTAGACCCCATTATCTTTGGCATAGGTTCCTTTTTCAATGTCTGCGTGAATGCTTTAATCCCATCACTGTGAAGGTTGCAGCAGTCAGTTTCTCATACACTAGAAACATAAGAGCAGCAGTAAGGACTGTCTGTAGGAGCTTTGCTTCAAGGCCTTTGTAGAGTCCCATTAATCCAAAACGCCTAAGGAGGAAAGAAAAAAAAAAACAACACAAAACCAAAAAAGTGTGAATAGCCTTCTATAAGTAAATCAGTACACTACAAAGAAGAATATCCAAGTTAATGACAACTGTAAGAATCTTAAATTCATTCTCAATGTCGAGTGCCAGCTATGTTTAGTAAGATCTTAAAGAGAAAATTCTGCAGGAAGTTAAGTCTTCCGTGCAAGAAACTTGCTTCTTTTTAAGATGAGAGGTGAATGAACTGATACCCATAGATAACACTTACTGTACAGATATTTAGGAGAATTTGGTTTTGTGTACTTATTCTGCATTATATTACAAAACCCAGGTTGACTCAGATGGCAAGTTTAAGGGAGGCCAAAAGAAACAAAAGTCAGATCCAGCAACATTTTCAACATATTAGTAATTACTCAAGTCTTCTGTATCATGTTAGGAAAAAAACAGAAAGCTCACCTCACTCTCTGCTGAAGAAGGTAAAGAACATTTCTAAGACTGCCTAGTGTTCGGTTCTCTGGGTTCAACCTGTGGCGTCCAAACTGAAAAAAAGGAAGAGCATTTTGTTGTGCTTTTTTCACAAGGTGCTAACAACACATGCACAAAATCCAGAGAGCCTCTCTTAAACCTCTTTTAACATTTTCCAGGTTATACCAGCCATCAGTGAAGAACTGAGGCCAAAGCTCACACTACTGAACTCCTGCAGCAAGCACTACAACGGTATGTGCTACAGTAATTTGTTTTGGTTTTAAGATGGATTCTAAGAAAGTGTTACACATGGCTGTATTTGCTCTCTTCCGGCTGTAAAGTTTTCAAGATCTCAAAAGCATAATTTGCAGAGTCTTAGTAAGGATAGGACATTCAAAGCAAGTTCCTTCCGGCTGGCTCAGCTTTCATTTAACAAAGACTCAAAGCCTCATACATCTGCAAACCATTATTACATTGAGATTGCAAAGCTGAACCCAAAATTTATCTGCCCAGTAATGGTCTTGGAGCAAAACATCTACGGGCGAACTGCTGCAGAAGAATCCAAAATTGTTTGATCCACCTACCTGGCCTAAATAATACTTCTCTTTTACTCATTATGTTTGCTTATCCCCAAACCGTTTTTCAATAGGCATGATAGCTGCTGGTGTAATTTTATGTCTCGGAGTTAAACCAGCAATTTCAGCAACTCCTTTCCTAGCATTCCCTGGTACTCTTACCTGATACAGGTCAATAGCACTGTCAGCAAGCTGTGACTATGAATTACTAATATACAAGGGCTGACACACTTGTATTTATAACAATGTGGACAAACAGCTTTTGAAGCCTGTATTATGCTTCTGTGCCAAGAAAGCAGCCACCTGCGTATGAGTTTCTCCCATAACTTGCTTGGGCAACTGCTACTTCTCAGGCATAAGAAATTACCATTGACAGTAGGTAGAGTATGCAAGCAGATTTAGGCAGTTCAGAAATTATAAGAAAATGCCACGATGACACAGGTCCCTTTGCTTTATGTCTTAAGAACTCAGATGGCAACAGCAGCAACACAACACTACTGGAAATCTCCCTTTATTAGGCAAATACATGCTCATAACCCACTATCTTCGAACTCATTTGATACTGATAAATCAAAGTTAAGGATTATTGTCAAAGACTCAGATACACCCCAACAAAGTTGCTAAGTTCCAAGCTACAGTGCCAGTCACTGCCCACATTACTCATAGGCTTCCAAACTACACCACGATTAAGTGCTTCCTTCCCCTCTTTTCTCCACCATTGGACAATATTTGTACTGCAAACAAAGGTTCATCCGGCGGGGGCGAGTTCATTTCTCCCTAGGACATCAATACTTCACTGATTACTGCAGAAGATTTCCAAAAGGGACTAGCATTCTCCACACTACAGAAAAGAAGATCGAGTTTTAAAGGGAACTTTTTCACCCAGGATCACTAAAAACATTAACAGTACTGCTATTTCTCCAGAGGCAAATTTAATTTATCCACTGTTTACTGACACATAGGGTAAAGAACAGCTCCACTGCATAATGAGTTAACACCAGTGCCATGTATTTTTAATGACTGAAAAAGAGATAGACATACCAAATGGCAAGGCTGGAGGCTGCTTACCACCGTCAATTACACAGGATAACTTCGTTATATGGAAGTAAGAAGAGCACTTTGACAAGAAGTTGAAAGCAAAGGTGTAGAGACTTCATTACAAAGAACCCTAACAACTTTCAAATAGTAAATTTCTGAAGGTTTAAAGTTGAAAAGTCCCGTACTTCTACTTTGATGACAGAACTTAACTATGACGTTTAAGTTTTTATGAATGATATAGAGCTTGTATTAGCTTGTGTGTAAATCTGCTAAAATAGTTTCAAAAAAACCCCACAGCTATAGGAAGTATTCTTCACGCAGAATGTTATTTCTGAAAATACTAAACCTTTGTTCATAATTTTTTTTTAACCTCACTTAGTGACAAAAACTTCATCAAATATAACAATGCTAGCTTTAGACTAGAAAACACGTTACGAAGTAGTTCAAGTTTGAACTGGACAGCACAGGTATCACAGATGCACGTGTCTGCTGTTTTCGTCAGAAGCATTCAGGGTTTCCAGCCACTACTTCTTTCACAGAGCGAAGGGAAAGAAGTCATCCCTCTAGTGACTGCAGAACTAGAGACGGGGTCCTTGTATTCCCCATCATCACAGGCAGAGGATGGACTGGCACTGAGAACTGGTATACAGGCCCCTTTATTCCACAGTGGGCCACTGTGAGAAACACCCCACACCACCACCAGGACACTGACCGTTAGCTGTGCTCCAGCAGAAAGGCAACTCATCACTGCTCAGGCAAGCCAGTAGTAAACTAGCTGACTTCAGCTGAGGTGAGCAGTAAGCAGCAAGCAGCAGCCGGTTAGTCCATCAAGCTGGCAGCACAACTTACCAGAGCTGCCCTTTTTTTAAAGAATAACACCGTCACCAGGAGACAGAATTTTGTGCAAAAAGCCAAAAGGAAACAGACGAACCATGAAGTAGTAGTCACAAGATTGTAACCATTTCTATAGCAACCACGGAAAGGAAGGAGGGGTGAAGCTGTTATATTGATGTACCCTCAAGAAAATTGTGCTGCCGTGCAATGCTAAGGCTAAAACAGAGCAGTCCACTTTATTTCCAGTTCTCCTTCGCACCAGCAGAAAACACATCACAAATTAAAATCAGACTGATGTTGCGACTTATCCAAACAAAGCTATATTTGCTTAAATGTTTTTACGTGTCTGTCACTTCGCTAACAGAAGCCTGCGTTACTAGTTTAAGTCCTGAGATGTGTCCAGGCTGTTAAAACAGGATGCGACATCGAACGAAGGCACTAGCTCAGCTGATCATCAAAAGTTATGAGAACTTCAGAAAAGGTGACTGCTGACAAAACTACACTGCGGCTGACGCAACTACAATGCAGACGCCATTTTGTGCGCCATTAGGGTGGTGGTGTAGAAAGCTGTGCAGACACAAAAATTTTATCTAGTGTCTTTTCAGGGTAGCAGCAATCACACAGTAAATATATTCAAGTCCTGTTGGTTTGAAATACAGCATCCAAACTATCTTTTTACAGGCTATCAAAAATGAAAATACATTTAGTCCACTCTAATTAGAGAGAAGAAAAAACTAAAAAAATTACAAAACTTGCATGAAAATAACTTTTTCCAGATGAACAATTAACAAGAAAAATCCCCTATCAGACAAGTCTGAAAAGTTATATCCTTAGCATGGAAGGCTCACATTCAAAAATTCAACTAATTCTCCAAACTTACACAAGCGTTAGAACACACACAATGGCTCTACTACACATGCAAGTTAGAGCTTCTCCTTACTTGGGCAAATAGCATTATATTTTGTATTTAACTGTGCTAAAAATAATAAAAAAGACAACTTACAAAAATAGGTTAAAAAGCACAGAAATTACAGTACAATATGCTTGCTTATGTATGGAGAGGTCGCTTCCCCCTGCGCCCGCTCCCCCTTTGTCTCGATTCAAAATTACAACAATGCTGGTCCATACTTAAGGTAGCAGCATTATCCAGCGTACATACAAGCTGCAAGTGACAATAAATGCAAGTGTTTCCATTACCACTACAACTAGTGTACAAGGCCCGGCATGTGGTTAAAGATATTATTTACGAGGGAGCTCAGCTTCCCCTGATGAATCACATTCTGGCTACTGACAAGGTCACACTGCCACCCGAACAGAAAAAAAAAAACCTATGAATAGAACTTTTTTTAGATTACCCTAGGTCATCTGGAAACAAACTGGGTTTAGAGGATTTAATTTTAACTACCCACTTGACACATTTTCTATTTATATTAGAAGAAGTAAATTTACATTTTTGTAGTGCCTAAAAGCTGTAGGGTGCATCAGCTTCTGTGAGACACTGTATTGATGCATTATGTTGTCAATACTACCCCCCACTTGAAACAAATGTGCACCAGTAATATCAAGTTCTATCAGAATCTGTCAGTACAGCACCAAAGAAGAGAAGCACCATTATCAGTGATCTGCATTGTGCAAAAGGAGCTCCCAAAATGACGGGTTCATCAACACAAAGAGGAACAAGTCACATGATCAAGGCTCGCATTATACAGAACAAGTCAGAGGCAGTTACCCTGAAATTAAATTATTACTTACCCGCAGAATTGACTGTACTGTCTGCAGAGGATAAGTGAGGGTGGTGGCAATTGCTTTGGCTATTGCACCAATGACAAAAGCATCCAAAGACGTGAGCTGCTCAACAGATAAAGAACACATTACTTCCACACAGCACCAAAACAGCCAGATACCCATATGTGTTTGGGCATTCTGTACTGGTACCTGCTACCAGGTTACCTAAGTATCTTTGGCATTAAGATTTCATGAAGTCTCTGGGTCTTCTCGTTTAAAGAGTTAGCTATAGTTCAACCAACTTACCTTCCCACAACTGAAGTTTATTTGTAACTTCTACCTGCTCACAAGCTTTTGCATGTCTCACTGTAACTAGGTTACTAAAACATAGTGGAGATAAAGCCATACAACTAGACCAATTTAAAGCACCGAGCATAGACAAAAGATAGGGAAGTAGCATTTAAACGTACCATCAATCAATAAGCATTCCAGCTTTTGCAACATCTAAAGCAACAAGTCACGTGGCACTTGTGAAAAGGCGACACTGAAAGACTCCTTGAACATGACTCTATAATCCCCAGACATAATCACTACGCTATTGGACAGAATTTTAGTCTCGATGACATAGGCTAAAAATCTCATCCCCTATGAGCTAAGAACACCTGCCGGAAGCTCAGCCTCACCTCCACAGCCCACAATGTCCCACAATGCACCAAATATATTGTCACAGCCTAAGCTGATTACAGCGCACCTCAGTCTAACACTGTGAATTAATCACTGAAATAAGTAGGTGTCCATATCAAATCACGCTCCAAAGTTGCAAAATGTGTTGATTGCAATCAGAAATATGCGCACACATGCACGTCTTTAAAAAGTCAATCTGATATACTTTAGACAATCAGGAAAAGATCAAATAGGAAGAAAAATGTCCAAAATAAAAATGACCATTGCTAGGGGAAAAAAGTATTATCTCTCTCCACTGATCGTGGACAAAACATGCCCTAATTTAAATAGAACTAATTTAAAAGAAACAAGAATAAATATAGCAATTGGCCAAGAAGCAAATAACAATGCAGAGGGAAGCTCAGCCCGTCACTCAAAAAATGTATTGTCCATAATACAACTGGATAGATTCATCAGGCACAGAGTACTACAGCTGCAGTATTGACTAAATATGGTTAAAAAAACCAAGCCTTATTTATGATGTAGAATCTCATGTAAAAATAATTTCACTATTTCTTGAGGAAAAACAATACGGCTTTGTAACGTATTGATACAATCTAACATTTTAATACCAAAAGCCAAACGCATTGTCACAAACTAACAGCAAAGCGCTGCAGCTTAAACATATGGTATGTTATGACGTTATCCCAAAACGTAACACAAATGCTTTTCAATCTGCTAGCACATAGAAGGAACATGAGTTCGGGTGAGATGCAGTATCTGATGCACACAAAAAAAAAGAATAAAGAAAAAGAAGGGGACTATAAAGCACGTGCGGAAAAGTCATTCTACCTCTATTCAGAGAATTGGGGAGGTAGTGTTGCTATGTTCAATTCTAGTGTCCAGCCTTGGAAAAAAGACATTGAAAAATTGAGGGCTTTAGGAAAAAAAGTGTTATTAAAATGACGGGGTCCAGAATAAATCTGTGATACTTCAAAGGCTCAATATACTTGATTTACTGGAGAAAGAGTTAAGAGGTGACTTCAAAACAGTCTATACGTACACTCTTATAAAGCAGATATATCAGAATTTAAATCTCTTAAATCAATACCTGTGAACAAATCTAAACAAATGTGGACAAGAGGTGCAGTTTTACTTTTACAGGAAGAGGAATTCAACACAGGAATATCCTACCTAGGGACATGAAAGATTCATGTCTCACTTCACAATGATGGATCTTTTTAAGAAGACAAACTAACTCAAAAAAATCCTGAAAAACACAAGAACCAAAACTAAACCTACATTTCTGAATTTCCTCAAGTAACACATGTCAAAGAATCTATCTTATAACAGAGCATGCCCATCACCTGGCCTCGAAATGTACTCACTTGCAGCTGCTTTTTCAAAAGCTTCCGTTTAAAGCCTTCGTAAAACATGAACTGTATGGCAGGATTGAAGACCAGCAGCAAGGAGGGGAAAGTACCATTCCATAAAGCTAAGACTCCTTCATCTCGTATTATCTGATGAAAGGCATCTGAGAAGAAAGGTGTAAAAAAAAAAAAAAAAGCATTAAAATTTTGAGTACAAAATTCTAACTGTAGAAGATAAGAAAAGTTATACTTAAAGCTCAATATTCAAAGTGTATAAAACTCCACTGCAGTCTTTTATGTGACTTTTTTTATCTTCCATACTAATCTGGAAGTTAACAGAAAAATAGCGACAAAGGAGGTTCTTGCTCACATCACCATTAACATCAACAAAGCTTACCATCTGCACATCCACCCCACTCTTTTTAGTACAAGCTTAGCATCAACATTAAGGTCTTCTCAACCTTCTTCAAAACAACAACAATATTTATCTTCTTATTTAATTTTAAAAGGAAGACAGCCTGAACACGTGTGTGATTAAGAGAGTAACGTGAGTGAAGTTTAGCTTGCAGATTGTCTATCCAAACTCAGGCTCCCAGCTACCACTCTGCTGGGCTCACTACTACTCCAGTATTTGTATGATAAGGTACCTGCCTTTGCAAAAGGTATTTTAGTTGCATACTACAAACTCTTAATCACCATCAGAAATGGCCAAGTCCAGTTTCCTGTAAAACTCAATGACCGCAAAGTGACAAGAGAAGCATGGGGATTCCAGGGTGAAATCAGTTACATGAATAAAAGTCTTCAAACTTGAGAGTCCTTGATATATTTCATTTAATAAACTTCTCTTTGCTTGAAGACAACAGGTACTTACCTACTATGCCTTTATAATTGGTTGGTACAATGTCTTCATTTCTAAATTTTGCTCCCTGCAGCTTCAGACGTGTGTTCACTACCCAAAGAGGAGTGGTCAAGAGTACATTCACTACACCTAATGCAAAACACAGCACAAAGAATATCAGCAAGAACTAGAAGAAAATTTCAAATGTTTTCTTAACCCCTTTTACTTCGATTCCCACACTACTGAAATTACTGGTAGGAAGAGGGAAAAACATTAACACAGCATATAACAAAAGTAAACTGGTAATTTGTAATGAGCTACTTCAGGTATCTCCCCACAGCCTCACCATGAATTAGTTAGCAGCAGACTGCATGCAGTGGAAAGACATTTCTGCTGCTCCTACCCAAAACTAATAAAAAAACCCAACCAACCAACCAAAAACAAACAACAAAAACCCCCACCCCAAACAACAAAACACATCAAATATGAACACATTGAAGGAATCTTAAGTGAACCTGATACTTTGCTGCGTACTACACCACACTGGAGCACAAGATACTCTACTTTTTCATGCCCTACTTCACTCCATGGTGACTTGCTGCCTGCCTACTTTCAGAAAGAAACACAGAGCAGCAAGGTTAGAGGGATTATTTTATAAGGAGAGATCAAAACAGATAAATGCATACAGCTTGATTACCAGAACAGAGCTCCTACACTGCCAAAAGAATAAGAATATCTAGCTTCTAGATTCACTAAGTACACTTAAGGTAAAAAACAGAGGATTCTGCAAATATTTTAAGTAAGGCATGGAAGTGGCAAGAGATTACACACAATAACAAACCCCAACAGTAAAGCCTGGAAGTTGAGTATCAGAACTTAGGATGCGGGAAGAGAAATAGACAAGCATACATAAGGCTGCAACAAAGAGGTATTGCAAAATACAATTCTAAGCAAACACAGAGAAGGATTAAGTGACATTGCTTCTGCAATCACCTGGTACAGGTTGCTCCTGTTCAGTAATGACCAAGGCAGTTACTTTGAAGTAAGTACGTAAAAACAAGCTTCAAATCTTTCTTATTAATATTTCTGCACCACAGAAATTTGCAATTGCTTCTATATTGGTTGCTTTGGTAGGAGCCTGAGTGACAGACTGAATTAGTCCGTTATATTGAGATGGACACACTACAACTGTATCAAGAACAGTAAGTCTGAAAAAGGTGAAACTTTACCACCTACATTATGCCTGTTTATTCTTTTTCTTTTCCTTTAAGATGGTTCAGAAAAGCAGAATATAAACATAAGTATACTTCAGTATCCTTCATAAGGACTACAGTCATGACTCAAAAGACGTTTTGAGCAAAATCAAGCACCAGGAAAGGCAAGCCACATTAATCTCTTAACCAAAGTCACTGTGATTACATTAAGGAGCAACAGGTTAGAGCACAGACTACTTGTAATTTCGCACCCAGATTCAGTTAAAGGAAAAGCTGTAAAACTTTATTTTGCAGACTGGAAAGGAATTGTTTTAAAATGTATGTTTCCAATCTGCATTTGCTACCAGTAGTAGGAATGAAAGAGATGGGTAGTGAGGCTTAGTAAACACCTTAAGTGGAATTTTTCAATTTACACCAGGTATGACTCCATTAGAAGAACATAAACTACTGATGTTGAAGAAAAGCTAGTCATTTAACTGACAAGCTGTTACCCTAATTCCTGTAGCCTTTGCTCCGGAAAGTAATTACACGGAATTTTACCGCAGTGATAAACCCAACTTAAGAATTTTGTTCCCTACTTTCCCCCAACTATTCAGCCATTCATTGTGCCCACACTGAAAGCACAAGAAAGCAGGAAAAAGCAAAGAAAAAGCCTGCCCTTATGTGCTGCACCCTGCCCCCAATAAATGAAGAAAAAAAAAAAAATTCCAAAGGCCTTATTTGTAGGTTGATTTTTTTTTAAATTAGCTTGTTTCAGTGTGGTTGCTTGAGCAATTGTTCCTGCAGAATATTACTGGCAAACACAGACACACAGTGGTTATTTTTCACACTGGATTGCTAGAAAAGCCACTAAAGTCATCATCCCTTCAAAGAAGCCACTGTAGCATCCACATGAGAGGAAAGGATGAAAAAGAACATCTAGTCCCACTGAACACGCACGTATCTAGGGACTCACTGTACCTAGGCGGCAACCCAAAAACAGGTCTGAAAACTGACACTCAAATGCTTAAATCAAAAACTCTTCTTTATCATAACTGAAAATATTTCAATTTGGCATGTATCTTCTCCTCTGAAAAAAAAACCTATCACCTCTCCCTGCCACTGTCTTCAACATCTAAATGATGGTGCTTAGATACCACAGTATACAACACACCAGACAAATAAAATACTAGACCACTACAGCACTGTGCTTTGTGCCAGAGTTCATAACAGGAACGGTTTATGCACCTGCTTATGAGGTGAGGACACAGAAGAGCAATCAGAGCTCTACAACTGAGCAGGTCTGTACACAGTGGGGGGCGTAAGCATTCAGTGTGACTTCCAGTGGACTTCATAAACAAAAACATTACATAGAATATACTAAAACCACATTTTTGATGAAACTGAGATTTTTAAGTATTACCTGCAACAACCCCAAGAACCAAGTCTTTTCCAGTGGTTGAATGCTGACCTTTGACCCAGAGAGCTTTAAGACTATTAAACGTATAAAAATAAACAAAATTGGAGCAGCAAAGGCTGGAAATAACAGGGAACCATCCTCGATACGGTGCCAACCTAGTGGAGAGGAAAAAGTCATGGTAAGGATCAGCAAAGTATTTATGTGATCTGGTTGATCTTACACATTGGTACAGGTCCCAGAGATACAATACTATATGCTACATAAAATATAACTACATATGTCTTTACCATTAATGGTAATAACTCATACCAAACTCCTGACCGCCCAATAAAAAAAAAAGGTAAGCACTTATAAACATAAATATATCAGGAATATTTCCATTGAAAAGGAGCTGTAGAAGTACAACATATTTACAGTGAGAAGCTTGGGATTCACTCACTCCAAAAGTGAGTATTACCACCATATTTGCTCTCTACCAACAGCCAGCAGTGAACTACAAACATCCAGGGGATGAATATACATGTTTGAAGCATGTACATTAACATATAGACTGATACAGTCAGTTCAAACCATATACTAAAACATACCAAGGCATGAGCAGAATTCTCATATTTGTTGAGAAACGGAGTTGTCAGTCCCATACAAAAGATAACACCCCAGTAAAGAGATGCTCACATCTCCAAGTAAACAAAGCAATGCTTAACACAGCTGGAAAAAAATTAAAGACAGCTACTTCTTCAATACAAAATAATAAAAAAAGCCTAGAGTAAGTAAGAGGAAAAAATACGTCTGGATTCTCACATGAAATTTAAAAATGGAAGACTAGTTATTCAAATTAATATACTCCACCAAGGAGAGTTTTCCAAAGGATACAACCTGGGGCATGAGACACACAGATGGGAGGAATTTCTAGTAAATGCCTTGCAGTAAAGCCTAGAGTAAATCAGTCAGATAAGCGAGAAAAATTTATTTAAATTTAACTAAATTAATCACAGATTAAAAACTGAATTCGCCCTTATGATTCAGAGCTATCATTTTTCAGGTGTTGTGAATAATTGTCATTGTTTGTGTATCATCTAAATCTACCTTGATTTAAGAATGATTTTGTAACAGCTGACTAACAAAGGTCCCTTCTCTGACAGGCCCGATAAGCCTGGAAAACAGGGACACCTCAACAGCTGCCATACATCCCCAGCATGTTCAACAATGCATCCAAAACCCGATAAAGACACACACCTTCATTGAAGCTGCACAGGACAGGTAAAGAACTGGTATCATGTTAAAAGCATAAGGAAACTCCGCAATGACCAGCAGTAATCATGGAGGCTCTTTAGTATTCATTAAAATATTGGGAATACACAGAATAAGGAGCACCAAGAAGGAGACCATAAAAGATGCAATGCTGGTAAATGCAGCGTCTGACTGTTCTTATGATGTAAATACTAGTGCTTCTCCCTCCCATGTAGCTGAGAATACACCACATTAAGACTGTTTCTGAAGTTACAGGCTTAGCTAACCATACAGTTACAACTACAAACTAACTGACTATAAGACAGTCATGAGTAGAACTAAAACAATTTTCATATCACCTGTCTCTTCTGTGCTGGAAAAGAAAGGGAGAAACATGCCCTCTGGGGACCACATCCTTTAACTGAGAGAGGTAGATTGGTTTTGCTTGATTTATTAAGAACAACTTCTTTTGATTTTTATCAAAACATCTTGCAGTACAAAACATGAAACTAGAACAAAAACTGTGAGTTTATTTTAATGACTTAGTTGTCATTGCTAGCATCCATAATTCACATACAAATATTTCTACACACAAATAAAACCCAAGTTTGTGTTCCAAATTGCAGCCTTGAGAAGAACTCCGTGTACACCACTGAACACCTTTCATATCACCTAAAGGATGAAAGCGCAGGGAAGAAAGCAAAGCTGTTCGATAAATTTCTACAGAAAGTCCAAAAACCTATTTGCTTTATCTAGATGAGAAAAGCAGTCTCACAAAAGCATGATATAAGACTCTACAAACTAATGCGAACAAGATGTTTATGATCTCACATCACATTTCAGATTGGTTGTTTGGGGTTTTTTTGTTATTCCTGATACATCTCTAAAAGTAGTATCATTGCTTAGCCAGGCCTTCCCAATACCTTTGGAAGGAACAATGTTCGCCCTCTTGCCAGAATTACTGATTTTTTTGTTTCACAGGAAAAGTAGGATGACCACTTTTGCAGTCTCTCCACTTCAGTTAACTACTTTTTTTTTCCTTTTAAAATGGAAGTTTACTTGCCACTCTTCTGTAACAAAAGTAATGCAGGAATGAGAACAAAAGATATCACCAACAGACTGATAAATACTCGTGCATACAACTGACAACTGTTCAAGTTCAAACGTGGGAAAACATTATTGGCCAAGCCAAACTTTTGTCAACTTTAATGTCCTGGAAGCTCTGGAGTTCTGGGGATTAACTTAGGAAAATACTAGTAACAAGGACACACATACAACTGTTTTCCCCAGCCAGTTCAGCTCAGACTACGTGGCCAATACTGAAGCATAGCATTGCTGAAAGTTAACTGCTTTTAGATAGATTGTGAATCTCAACAACATAAAGAGTCACTTGTAGTTTACTTCCACATGTTTATTAGGAAAAGAAAAAACTTCCAACTGGGACACGTCTCAATTTTCCTGTTGAAAGTGGCTCAGCTGCCCAAGAGTTTCATCTTGGTTACGAGAAATGGACACACCCAAGAATCCAGGCAGACAAAGCTGGTTTGTCAGGTACAAGGTGGTACATTTGTGTACAAACCTGCATTTCTGAGGAGGCACAGCTACCTCACTAACGGAGGCACAGTTACATCACTGAACAGACTGATTGCATAAGGTACTCAAGAAAGTTAATCCAAATTAGCTAAAGACAAACACCTAAGCTTATGCAAATCATATCACACTTATACAAAGAGATTTTAATTCAGAGTAAAAAATACAGGCTAAATATTCCACTGTAAAAGCAAACTCAAAATAGTTTTAGAGCTTGTCTACAGGAAGCAAGCAGAAAATTAGTATCTACTCACAGGCCTTCTTCTTTGATTATTTCCAATAGGACTGCCGGTGTGGTCTTAGACTTCCGCTTCTCATCAACTGGAAAACAGAAGAATCAAACTTTTAGATTACCCCAATTTTTAGCACTCATTTTCAAGTCCTTATCTTTCCTATTCTGAACACGCCCCAGAAGAGCATGTTTCTTCTTCCTCATAAGGATAGACGTTCCCTATTTCCACAGCAACTCCAGAAAGCATCTCCTTATTGACATTTGCTAGGTAAGGCTACTTCCTTTTTTTTTTATTCTTCCCCAGACTAGCAGGTTGTTGTGCACCAGAGCATCTGCAGTTACCAACTCCTAACCTGATAGTCATGACATGAACTGAAGGTAGGTTCCCCTTAGTTAAGAGACTAGAATTGCGCCTGCCTAACTGCTCTCAAAATCATTCCTTGGACTCCAGACTAGCACTGCTAGCAGAGCAATCTCTTAATGTGCAAACAGCCAAGCCTTAGCAAAACACTGTCTCTTCCTGCACTGAAAGCTGCTCAAGAGCGATATGGCGCTCATTTCTCAACCACGTATTTCTGACAACCTGGCTGACGATCTCCTTCTAGTTGTCAACAGTGCTTTAGTCACAGCGCTAAAATGCTTGGTGATTCTGTGACTTTTGATTAGAAGATATGAATGTTAGAACAAAGTTTATACCCAGAGGCATTTTTGTAAATATTGGATGTTTCTACTCCCAGTTCTAACCCTGACTTTTCCCTTTAAACTATTCTCAGGAACAATTCTAGATTAGTTTCTCATGATACTGCCCCTGCATTTTGAAGTGTTCTCAGCAGCCAAAAGCAACAACACACAAATGCAGTCCTGTGTAATCTCACATCTTTATTTTTCTTTTTGGTCTTAGATAACCATTGAAAAGCCATGTCTGGCCACAGATCACACAGCTTTTTCATCTAATTAAATGGTTGCCCAATACTTTCAAGAGGGAGAATTACCTTCAGCTGGGAAAATGGTGTCAGTGACTAAACAGTGTTAAGTGTTACACAGGTAAGATTCCTGTTCATGCAAGATTGGTCCCCCTACAACCACCCTTACTAATGCCCAAGCAAAGATGAACAGAAACACCATCATACAAAGAAACTGGAGTTTGACACTTACCCTGAAGTCTAAGCCTAGCTGTATCCAAAGGAAAAAATACAGTCATTGCAGTCATACTGCCCTGAAAAACAAAATAAACTGGCTATATAGTGTATCAGTTGCTTCTACAGATACCTGCCAGACCCTTTGCAGCCCTTCACTTCTCACCCAGAAACCAGTATATTGAGTAAGTTTAAAAAGGGCATAAACTCCATGCATAATGTTGATTTGAAGTGGGTTTTGGTCACATGCTTACAAATGAGATTTTTTTCTCTTGTATTAGATCAAGCTAACATTTAAACCATTAGAAGTTTTTTGCCCAAAGAGAGAGTTTTTGAAGTCCGGGAGCTGATAAAGTGGGCATCAGGAGACAAACATATTGTACCTTCTCTACCTCCCATTAGCCTCGGTACCTAATTTCTAGGGTTTTTTTTTTTAAAAAAAAGGACAACAATGACAACTGCGACACAAGCAACCATCGTGTTACAACAATCTTGTTCGAACTTCAGGGAAAAAAAAAAACAAACACAGAAACTTTTATTCATTAAAAAACTGATAGTACATGTTTTTCAGGACTTAATCTAGCATTGAACTACATTCTAATTTAGGCAACAGAGATCTGCCTACCAAGACACCCCTTGTGGCACGAATCACCTATGATGAATTAAATCATGACCTACATGTCCCCAGATTCACTTTTGGTGAATCCAACACCCTCTTCACTTCCTCTTCCTTCACGTCCAAAGCCTCTAAATACAAAAGCCAGCAGCCACTCTCCTTTACAACAGGGTGAAATACTGTATTTGCAAATGCCTTTATCTTCCATACAAGCAGCTGTTCCCTCTATCTGCCCACCATCATTCAGCTTCTTCAGTCTTTAGTACTCTAGCACTAACACTGCACAGCCTTTCAAAAAGATACCTAACACAGAAAGACCCAGGCTTGGTATAAACCTGTTAACACTCCCCAGAGGTGTTAAACGCATCAAGTGGCTGCTAAAGCTGTGGCACTTTTCCATTAGTAGCCATGCAAACTGTTTAAACAACGGGAAAGTCCAGGATACAGCAAGTCACACAAACACTGCGTTTAAAGCATACTGCACGGTGTGACTTGAACTCTTCTAGAGCGATGTTATGCCATACACCTAAGTGAGCTTTGCCTCTGGCTCCTGAGCAGGCTGCTTGGACCCATCTCTACACCCAGCAACAGAGGAATACTTTTCAGGTGGTGCTTCCTCACTAAGACAATTCTTGGTTGAAGTCTTAACAAGACTTAAGGTTCTCCGGTTTTCATAACACCAGGTAGCAGATGAAAGGAAACACTTGGCCGTAATTACCTGGTTATTTTAACCCATTTAGTTTGAGCTCCAGCCAAAAGGGTTGGTTCTGCTCTCCCACATACTTGTCTTGTGTCTATGTACACAGCTGGACAGCGAGAAGGATTAATGAACCCATGTGACTAAAAATTTACAAAAAATAAATTTCAGTTAGAAGGCTAGTGCCAGCACAAAAAGTAGCAGAAAGAGCCAAGACACATCTCCTAATGACAGCTGCACTACAGCAACTCTGAAGCCAACCCCAAAACACAGTATCATACATCTATGCACAAAACAGCCATAAGACTGCACAGTCACTACAAGTTCCAGCTTTCTCCTGTTCAATTTATCCTGCTTCCATCCTCCCAAAGTAAGATTTATCCTGAATCCTACTCTCAAAGCAATCCACCACACAGCAACAAACATACTTGCACTCCAAATCAGAAAATGGAAACGGGGAAGCAGTTGGCGTAGTGGCACAGAAGACAAATGGGTGGACACAAGGTACTGAGTATTTCAGTTGGACCTACAATGACCATCTAGTCCAACTGCCTGACCACTTCAGGGCTGGCCAAAAGTTAAAAGCGTATTATTAAGGGCATTGTCCAAATGACTCAAACACTGACAGGCTTGGGGCATCTACTACCTCTCTAGGAAACCTGTTCCAGGGTTTGACCACGCTCTTGCTTCCTGATGTCCAGACTACACCTGCCCTAGTGCAGCTTTGAACCATTCCCACGCAATGAGCCTTACAGGCTCAAACCGGCTTAAAACATGTATGAAGCTATAGCTCAAGAGAATGTCATGAGATAACTCAGCTGATCTAACAGATTACTGCCAATAAGAGATAATTGGTACCTCTCCCTTCCTTTTGCTAAATTGAGGGAAGTAAACTCAGAGAAGCATAGCTACTTTTCTCCTGGGTTTATAAATGGAACAACCCAACTACATTGTGAGAAGGCCGCCAGCAGCATAATATGGAGGAGACAGGACTTCATGGCTAGAAGTAAGGGAAAGGAGAGGGCTGAGCAGGACCAGCCCTTTCCCCAGCAACAAAAACCCTTTGAGATCGGCTCAGATCCTTTACTGAATCGCACTGGAGACCAGCAGGGAAAGCAACCCATATTACTGGTTGCAGGAACGTACGCTGAAATGTATGACCCTGTACTGCTGAAAGGGTGAGGCTTCACTGTCTGCCTTCCCACCGCCTCCCTGTTGGCGTTGAATCTCGGCAGCTTACCAAGTCAAGTCATGTTGTCACTGAATAATCACTAGGACAGGTATAAACTGGCTTAAGCAATCCTAGCTCTTGGTCAACTGCCTTTGCATCCATGCCTCCTCCATTCTGGTGGCATAACTTTTCGGGTAACTATGTGATGATGCAGACAAGGAAACTAATCTGGCTGAAAAAATAACTTTTTCCACTGGCCTACTTCTTCAGTCAGATCAGTTCCCTGATCAGCCACAGCACCACGTAAACAACTGTGCAGCAGCCAAGAGGTGGCAGTAAGTGGCCAGAACAATTGGCCTGAGATGACTGCTGCCAAGAGGAGGTGTGCAAGACCACAGCCTAAAGTTTGGTTTTCCAAAAAATAACAAAAAAACAAACAAACAAACAAACAAACAAAAACCAAAAAAAAACCCCCAAAAAAAAATTTAAAAAAAGCACTATGTTGTCAGCCAACATTCAAACAAAGCAGCTTGACTACTGCCATAATACACCTATAAAAGTCTCATTCCTACAGCTTTTGTAACAGGAAGGTTTCTTTACATCTACGTGCAGAGTTAAAAAATGTAATGTATGTAATGAATGAATGAACGGGATTCAGTTAAAGTTCACAGGAAATCAAACACGGATTTTTTTGCTGCTCACAAAACCATTCATTTGTCTCAGGTAGCTTAGAAGATGTATGAACTTTTACCATACTAGAATAAAAACGAAAGTCATCATATTGTGATATGACATGTTGTTCTGACTCGCTACATCGGCACAGTTCTGTGCGTTACTTTTTCTTTTTTTTTTTTAAATTCTTGCACCACATCCACACATCAGCATACTTTAAAGCTTGAACAAATGGTTAGACAACATCAGAACAGTTTGTGCTCATGTCAAAGATCTTGCCAAAATTTATACATTACAGCAGCAAACAGAAATCTCTAAATGGATGAGTATATCTTCACTATAACAAAAACAAAAATATCAAGGTTTCCAGCATAAGACAGTTAAAAAAAAAGCCACCTCGTTTTAGGAAAAAAATTCTTTCTCCAGGGCTTTAAATTGTGTATGAATATTAGTGACAGCAAGCAAAAGTCACAAGGGTACAGAATTCAAATAACTCCAAAAAGTTCTGTCTTCCTTCATAGCAACATCACTGCTGAGATATAAACATCTTCGTATACAATTGTGACTTTTTATTAACTTCATGAACACCACCAAGGGACTTCAGATACCATTTCATTATGTGTTTTAAGTTTATGGCTGGATTTATAAGCTCAGTTCATACCACGAACTTTGTTCAGGAGCACAGCCTGATCATAGTGATGTGCATATGAGAGTAAGAAGCTAACAGTGAAGGCTAGAAAGCGTTGCCAACTTCTGTACAAGCCAGCAAAAGAGAAGGAAGCAGTATTTCAATAATGAGATCATTTGAGAGAGTTCCATTTCTTGAAAGTGGAAACAAAATCCCCACTGCCTTTGATGCTTAAATAAGCAGATTTAGAACACTTTGAAGAGCAGATAATAATCCCATGTTTATTTATGATAAAGATAAAACACACTTTAGAGTCTTTTTTTCCTTTTAGAATCACCCTGTATTGTTCAATAACATTTAGTGACTTTCATCCTACAGAAGACATTGTGAGTTCTTTTAAGGAGTCAAATTAGAACAGGAAGTTTTGCCAGAATAGTAGATCAGCAATTGCTACAATGCACATTTAGGTGTTCTTGCCAGTCTGGAATAACCCAAGAATAGAGCTGCATCAGCTTGCTTGAGATCCATCGTTACGCCCAGTCCAACATGCTACACTGCACTAAAATAAGTATTTTTATACTAGGAAACCTAGAGAAACGAAACATTACTTTTTAATTTACAAGTGTCACATGAAAAACTTAATTCAATAACCTATACAAATCTCCTCTAGCTGCACTGCACTCGCTTAATGTTTTGATTAACACCTATGCGTTGCTTCACCCCTCACAACTTCTAAGTATTTATGAAACAATCGCAGAACGGGGTTCTTATATTACGCAGCTGAAGTGTTGTCCCTCTGCCTAAACTTCTGTGAGGCTTAAATTTTCATGGTTAATTTGACGCCCAACTTCAGAGGCTCGCTTTCCCAGGGAGCACACCTGCAGCAGCTCAGAGGAAGCTCCCAGGAGAACAGCCAGCCCCAAGGCTGGACAAACCCCACATCCAACACCAGCGGCAAGCAGAACACGGGCTTTGCAAAGGTGCTCGCACGGGATGGGTGGCGGAGCCGAGACTCGGTGTCGGGGACCCCTCACCCCAAACCTTCTTCTTGTGACCGTGAAGGGGCCTGTACAGCACCCCGCAGGGCTCACACCTCGGCGCCACAGCCCGCTTAC